AGGAAGGAAGGAAGGAAGGAAGGAAGGAAGGAAGGAAGGAAGGAAGGGAAGCAAGGAGCTAGGCAGACAAGCATGAAGGAGGAAGGAATAGTCAGGAATCAGCACCAGCAGCAGCAGAGGGTAGAAACTATTCTGTTGCAGCTAGGGAACTTACATTGTTTCCTTCAGAGTTTTTGGTTCCTGTGGAAAACCATCTTCAGCTATTTTGCTGTCACTGTCACCATAAATTCTCATCTGTGAAGTTTCTTCCGTGACTGAACTCTTCTTGATATCATGAGCCATGACACAATGCTCTGTCTCATGTCTACTCACTCGGCAGGGATGCCAAGTGAAACAAGGCAGCAATGAAAGAGGCCAGTGTCATTCCAGAATCAACCAAATACACTGGATTGATCTTAGAGGTCATCCGACCCAATGAAATTAAAAGCAAGCATGCTAAATAAGAAGCTACAGTAAGACAAACGATAGACTCTACATTGCAGTCCATTTTCACCAATCTTATTACTTATTAATAATATGAATAATATTTATTTATTATTTATTTATTGTGAGAAGAACTACTTATTCATATGAAATTGTTCAGTTAATTTTTCTGGGTATAATAAAGTTACTAATGTCCCTCTTTTGAAAAAATTGAAACTGGGCATGGAGTAAATGATTTGCTGGGGTTTTTAAATACTTGAACTTTAATTCTGTAAACAATTTGGGGTTTGAATTTGAAGACAGTTCCAGCAAAACCTACACTTGTTTCTATTTTCTACTGGGTGAATTAAGTCACAGGAGTTAGATGACATTTGTGAGGTAGCTTAGCACATGACATGATTTCTGAAGCAGCTGGTAGAGTTTTCTGAAAGGAATCCCTTCAACTAAGCATCATGTTACCCTCAGCTCTGCTAGCCTGTGGTTTGTATGAAGAACAGTTAAAGTGATTGCAATCCGGTAGACAGTGATGATAAGATGTTTACATATTTAACTACTTTCTGTAGCAATAGACGTTTCTACAAACAAATGTTATCCCTTTATAAAAGCTAAGGCAGTAAGGGCTTTAAGACAGTTAGAATGAGTTAAGTGTGTCATCTCAAAGCGCTATAACCAAGTAACTATCACATATATAGAAGGTCCTTAAGTTAATATTAAAATAGGAAGTCCAGTGGTCATAGTACATGTTCTTGGTGGAGGAGCACTGGCCACCAAGTGTTTAAGCATCAGCCAGGTATGCTTATCATTTGACCCAGACTAACCTATCTCTCTGTGATCTTTGACTCTTTGCAAATGGTCAAATTGGAAAACCTTTAGGAAAGCCTGAAATCCAATTTATTATTGTGATCCTGATCCTTCCCCATTCATACCACTTTCACTGTAGTGTTTTGTTGGTGAGCTAAATATGGAGCCTTGCTAGCACTGCCTAAGGAGTGAGAACTGATTCTTGATCAATTAAATCCTGATATAAAGGGGGATTTCAATCTATTTAAAGTTTTTTTTGGCATTATGACACTATCTTCATATAAAACTTAAAGTTTGTTCTTGCCTTCTTAGGCTCTTGCCAAACAAGCGAAGATTGATTTTGCAGAGCAAACCTTGAGGGAGAAAGAAATTCATGAAAAGATCTCTGTGGAAAGAGCACAAGAGCGTTATGAGAAGCATTATGGAATATGTTCAGAGATTTTGGACCAAATACTTGATTTGTGCACGAAGGTGGCAGACTATAGGTTGCTGACAAATAAGTAAGTATCACTTTGCATAACTAACCCAACAGCGTCACTGTAGAAGTGAGAGTGCTGAGACTGCAAAGCAGACACACACAATCGATAGGCAAAGCAGACACACACAATTGATAGGCAAAGCAGACACACACAATTGATAGGCAAAGCAGACATCATCGATAGGCAAAGCAGACACATACAATCGATAGGCAAAGCAGACACATACAATAGATAGGCAAAGCAGACATCATCGATAGGCAGATTTTATGACTAGAGAAGGAGAAGCAAAGGATTAGAAAGTATTACTTTCTGGCATTATTTGGGGTACAGACATGTCTTCATCTATTCTTAAGTAGTGTCTAAATTGTCATTTGCCAAGGTAAGAATTACCATTTATTAAACATAATCATGTAGTCACGTCATTTTGAGGTTAAAAACATTACAGCTTTCTAAACTGAAAATAAATTATGCTTACCCAAAAATGAAGGAATTTAACAAGTAATGTTTTAATTTAATACTCTTATAAGTTATATTTTATTAAAAACTGTATTATAGGTAATAGAACTATACATGTAACATAATTATATTATGTTATTAATTCAAGTGTTCTGAAATTTCAAGCACAAAACTATGCAGAAGTGATCAATGAAATATAGAGAAAAAAGTGACATAAATTATTACAGTAGTTAATAATGGATTATAAGAACAAAAAAGATAGTATTAATAAAGTGAGATAAATCAGACATGAATGGGAAAATATACATAATTAGGCATGGATGTACCTAAGCAAATTCAGGTTCACCATTTGATGACACAAAAGCAAATTGAGTTCTGTTTAGGAATAGCAGAATAAATGCACTTATCCCTTTTCTTCCCAGTAAATACATTTAAGCTGCCTACTTTTAAGTCACACATGAGAAGGGTAGGAAAACGTGGAGAAAAGTGAGATGGTTGATTACTTGGGTCTAACAGATTGTGCAGTAATGACCTCCTCCGTGGATTTCAGTTTGGGGTCAAATTTCCTAAACAAGACCTGAACTTTTTGGTTTCAAACACATTAATGGTATTGATTCTCCAGTAAAGAAATAAGCTAGAAGAATATAACATTTTAGATAATAATGACTGACCGTTTTTAACCCAAATTCCACAGGCAAAATTGCAATCTCACCTCTCCTCATGCCATCAAGGGTAGGAATCCTCATTTACCCTTGCAATGTAACAAGAGACTTCACCTATTCATGAAGCAGATAGCAGAGAGAGAGGTTGATCAGGAGGCATGGATTTCTGTTCGTACCTGAGCATGACAGAAAGCTTCTGCAGTCTCTGTGGCCTATGTGAAGGGAGGCTAGTAGGAACATCCCCCAGACATACAAGCATCTCTACAGTAGATCAGATGGCGACTCTGTGAAAGCAAAATCCCTACCTCCTCCCAAAAGTGGCGATGTGATCTTTTCTTTATGTCTCATAGGAAGCACTTAGGGACTTGTTACTTGCCACTAACAAGAGAGCATTTCCACTTTCCTTTGCCAGAGCATTGTCAGAAAAAAAATCAAACAAAACTGAGGTGCAAAGTATTCTAAACTATGGCAAAAAAGTCATTGCTAGCCATCATGTCAAGAAGCAGAAAGAGCACAAGCAGGAAGTGAAGAGACAACAGATGATGCTATTATACAATGAACTGCATTCTCTGTAAACGTGCCCTTGTTTGGAAGCAGAGATATTCCAGATACAATAGATTAGGTTGAGATGTTGGTTAATTCAACATAAGTGATATAATTGTAAGAGAGTAGAGATACACAGCAAGGCACCATGTTATCACAAAGGCAACAGGCTGTTGAGCTGCAAGCCAAGTAAAATCAAATATTTCCAGCATACCATCAAAAAGACAACAGAGGATTTACCATGGTTTTCAGAGGATACCTGGGCTAACCAGCATCTCGAATTAATAATCCTAGCTTTCAACACTGTGTGGGACAACCAATTACTATTCTTTTTCCTATCCCAGCTTGTGGTAGATTGTTATAACAACCCTCGAAAATCAGCACGGTTGTCAACACTTAGATGCCAGACGTCTTGAAATTACCTAATTAAGACTTTTTTAAGCAGCCATGGCAAAGAGTTTCAGCAAACAATTATAAGCTGCTTGAAACAAATGTGAAAATGTAGTACGAGAACAGAGATGCAATAAAAATTAGTATTAAATAGACATTTTATAATTGAAAGGTACAGTACCCAAAATAAGAGTTCAGTAGTTAGACACAGCAGCAGGATGACATGGACTGAGAGAAGACCCAATAAATAGGAGACAAACTAAATAACACAGAGATGGTAGGTTTAAAAATAAACAAGACTAGTTACTTGTCTGTCTTCTCTCAATTGATCAAAATACTGAGATGGAACATCTTATAAGGGTGAAATCGTTTTTTTGTTGTTGTTGTTGTTTTGTTTTTTGTTTTTTGTTTTTGACCCGCAGCTTCAAAAGTTTTAGTTCATGATTGTTTGATGTTGTTCCTTTTGGGCCTATGCAAGGTAGAAAGTCATGGAAAGATAAAAAGGGAAGTATGTGGTAGAGAAGCCCATTGTCTACTGGTAACAAGGAACTGAAAGAGAAAAACTAGAGTCCCAGTGTTCCCTCCAAGCCATGCCCTCGTGATATAGCTTCCTACCAGGCCTCTACCACCTAAGGGTTCTACTCCCTGCGAACAGTGCCACAGTTTGATAACCAAGCTCTCAAGCCATAGGCTATGAAAATAACTCAGGATACAAATTATCATTACAAATATTTTTTCTGTCCCAGAAGAGCAAAATCATGCTCAAAACAATAATATCTGAACATTTATTTAACTTCCCAAGAGTCATCAACCTACAGGTTCAAGAAATAAACTCCAAATAAGATAAACTCAAGTAAGTTCATATAAAATCATATCATAATTAAATTTCTGAACACTTTGGAAAGAAGGGACTAGGAAAGCCCCAGGGAAACACCTCAAAAGCAAAGTATTTCAAAAGACTGATTATTTCTTCCCATAAACCAGTAATCCAGAAGTGGCACAGTAATTTCTAAGTGTCAGAACAAAGAATTCTCAACCCAGCATTATATCCACAGCTGAAATATCCATCAAGGGAGCCTGGAGACATGTCTCAGAATGTAAAAACATTTGTTCCTCTTACAGAGGATCCAGGTCCAAACCCCAGCATCCACAGGGTCACACTATCCATTATTCCAGTTCCATGAAATTTGATGTCCTTTTCTAATCTCTGTAGTATACCACCACACATGTGGTGAGCAAACATACATACAAACAAACCACTCCAAAATAAAATTGAAAATAAATGTATAAAAGCTTTAAAGAAACCTATCATAAACAAAGGTAGAAATTATAGGCATTGTTATATCGTGGTTACCAAGAACATTTGCTGGCAGCTTGCCTCTTCTCTAGTGGATGGCTAAAAGATGTTTTCATGACAGGAAGAAAATTCTTCTATAAAAGAAAATTAGGACTAGGCAAAGCAAAGAAAGAATACAGTAAACAACAGGATGAGTGAGAAGAGGATTCCCTTTATCTTCCACAGAAGGCATGTTACCTGGGGATGTGAAGGTCACTGTCAAGTGTACTTCTCATTGTGCACACAGGAAGTCTGTCATTACAATCTGATGAACATAGAGAAATAGAAAAAAGGTCATACTTCTTTGGTTTGATGTTTTTCTGTTTGTTTTGTTTGTCAGCAGTAAAATGAGGCTAGTGAATGTATAAATTGTATATGAACAATATAATGTCTGTTATGCATACTAAGTAACCTGTACAGGATATGTTACAGATAGATTGAAACCGATTCACAACAATAATTACTTAATCCATAGTAAACAGGGTAAAGAAACAAGCAAGGAATTAGAACTCCATGAAATATGAATTAATAGATTTCACATTAATATAATAATTTCATCTCTAAATATACTAATTAAAAACAGTGATGGGGAATCAAAAAATATTACCAAACGTTTTCATCTATAAGAAATTAGTTTCAAATACAATGACATAGACAGATTAGGGGTAAAAAAAATTTTATAGGATGTATATATTAATCGAGATAAAGCAGGAGATTTTATATTAATATCAGACAAAATAGACTTTAGAGCAAAGGAAATCACCAGAAACAGAGAGAATATTGGCTTTGTTCCCCTAGAGAAGCCTGTCCAGGAACAAACCTCAACAACTTTAAAACACTTATAGAGTATGGTCCTTGAGGAGTGAAATTGAAAAGAAATCTACATAGGTCATCCATGTTTCAGCAGACGCCCACACATCAGTGAATACATACAGGCAGCACAAACTGTACATAAAGGGTGAAAATCAAAGAAAATAGAAATGTTGGGTAGGCCGAGAGGTGTTGGGGATGGGGATGAATGTGGTCGAAACTCTGTGTATGAAGTTATCAAAGAATAAAAGATGAGATAAGAAACTCCAAATACTTGTAAAATAAAACACACTTCTAAATAAATTACTCTCAGATCTAATAGGAAGTGTTAAGGGAAATGCAAAAAATATATTGAACAAGATGAAATGAAAAGACAACAGGGAAAATCTTGTGGGATACAGAAAGAACAGAGATTTAGAGTAAAAACTCCATTCTTTAAAAAGAATAAGTTTCACATCACTACCACTGCCACCTTAGGAACCTAAAATAAGAAGAGATAAATAAAGTCAGAAGGAAGGTAGTAGTAAAGAACAGAAAGAAAGAAAGAAAGAAAGAAAGAAAGAAAGAAAGAAAGAAAGAAAGAAAGAAAGAAAGAGAGAAAGGAAAGAGAGAGAGAGAGAGAGATGATACACCTGCGAATACTATGAATATCAGGAGTAAAGCAAAGGATATTAACTCTAAGGCATTAAGGACCAGAAATGTAAGAGACTATCGTGTGTATGACAGAGCTCATTTGACTTTCTAACTGAAGACATGAGCTAATTTCTCAGAAACAGAACCACCACAAAGCACCTATCTAAAATTTGGCAGGCTCAATAACTACT